GGGGGGGGGGGGGGGGGGAAGGCGGGCTCAGCCGTCGCCGGGCCGGCCGTGGGCTGCGCATCCCCCCGCCCTCCCGCCCTCCGGCGCCCCGACGCACCTGTCCGGGCTAACGCGCAGACGCTCGGCCAGCAGGCCGCACAGCAGCTTGCTGTAGGAGCGGTTCTGCGTGCCACCGATCTTGCCGATACTGTGCAGGCTGCAGAGCGCGCACGGTTCGGTCGACCCGCCGAAGGCCATGAGCTGGTCCGGGACCACGTGCACCGCGATGTACTGCAGGGGGAGGGGCGCGGTCAGTCCCCCCGAGCGACCTCACCCGGCCCCGAGCGTCCACTTCGGGACGGAGCCTCATGCCCCTGGCCCCCTCCCCGCCCCCCCCGCCCGGGACCACCTCGTCCGGCAGCCACCCCCTCTTCCTATCCCCTTCCCGCAAACCTGAGCCGGCTTGCCCGTGGCCTGCGCCAGCTGCTGGGTGAGCTCGGAGAGGAGCCCGTCCGGCACGGAGGCGCGGGGAACGTTGGTGTTCACGACGAACATCGGCATGATGGCGGAGGGACAGCGGACCGAGTTCAGGAGCACAGACGAACACGCGCCGCAGCTGCAGCGGGAAACCTGAGCTACGTGACCACCGCCCCGCACCGCCCCTGCGCGGCTGCGGCTGCGACTCCGCCTCCTGTGACGCCACGGCCGGCGGCAGCCCCCGCCCCCAAGGGGTGGTGACGTCACCGCAGGCCGAGGCTCCGCCCCGGAGGGCGGGACCCGGGGCGAGTCAGTAGGCTGCCCTGGCGGCGACCAGCACCCCTCAAAACAGTTCTCCACGTGGCGGCCAGAAATCTTTTCTCTCTCGTTTCTTTGTTAGTTCTTTCGCTTAGTCACTGACGTTTACTCGAAGGAGCTGTGCTAAGTGTGGGGATGCGGAGGTTAACCGGGCAGATGGCCCCTTGCCCTTACGGAGGCGGTGAGGTGAAGCCCCAGCTCATTCCATCACATGCACTGATCCCGTTTGTGTCCTGAGTCTCCGGGCTTCAGTCCTGCGCATGTGGGCTTGTGTGTGTGTGAGATGGGGAGGGGTGGTTATGGCTGCTGGTGGGAGTGGAGCTGCCATAGCCGAGTCACCATCCAAGTACCTTCCCTGCATCCCTGGACTTCAGGGTGGCTGAGAATGCTGGGAGGCCCCGAGCGGAGGCGCAGGGAGCAGGAGGTGAGGCCCAGACGGAGCTCCCTGAGCCAAAGGCGCTCAGCTCCGCTCCTCCGGGCCACAGAAAGCAACCCCACACCCCAGGCCCCTGAGCAACTTGAGCTCCTCAGGAAAGCCCCACCCTAGTCAGGTACCAGGGTTTGCCCTCTCCTAGAGCCCTTGGTGACTTGTCTCTTCCACTAATGGTAAGCTCAGGGAGCATCTAGCAGGGGGCCAAACGTACAGAGGACGTTGACTAAATACTGGCTGAATGAAGACAACCATGACACAGCAAGAAGAGCAAAGGATGGCGACTGGATTAGGGCCCTGGCCAGGCCGGGGATGTAGGGGAGTAGCCGGGGATGAATTTGCAGGCCTGCCATCATTGGTCAGAGCAGCCTGTGGCTGAGTGGCCTCCCCAACTCCCATTCTAAGGAGGCCTCCTGGTCAGGGTGCTGTGCTGGATAGCTGATCTTTCCCAGGCCCTGTTGAGTTTGGCCAGGTCCTCAGAGATCTCCAGAAAGGCCTTGATCTTGGTCTCTAGCAGGTGCAATTCACACATCAACCTTGGCAATGACTGTGTGACACAACAATCACACCTGTGTCTGTAAGGTCCACGTGGCACCAACCAGCCTCCAGTCAGGAGGTCCAATGGCCCATTTATGCAAATAAGTGTTGGTTCCTCCAGGTGGTCCTCAGGCCGCTTCTCTCTCTCACACCTCCAGTCTTACCTATGCCGAGAGCTCCCTTACTACTATGCACTAATGGCGCTCTAGCCATGTATCCAGCTGGGGGTTCTCCTCTAAGCCCCAAAGGCTGACTCAGCATCTCCTGCTCTCTATGTCCAACCCAAGTGCATGACTTTGCCACTGATTGCCTGCCAGTGAAATGTGCCTCCTTCTACTGTCCCCTTATCCTCACTTCTCTCTACCCCGCTGCCCCATCACCTAGTCTACACTAGGTGACATCACCTTTTGCCTGGACCGCTCTGATAACCCTGTGGTGAACCATTCCTCCTGGACAGAGGAGTCAATTTCTCTGTCTCAGGGCAGCAGATTTGGCCATTGACTTGCTTTGCAGTGAAATAAGTGACATGAGTGACTCCAGGCAGAAGACTGAAGAGCCAGTGCCTGGTTGGCTCATTCTCTAATAGTGGATCCCACATGCAACGGGGCGTGGGCGGCAAGGTGGAGCCTCACCAGCAAGCACCAGAGCTGCCCCTGCAGGTGAGCAACTGCGACTTTCAGGTTATTACTGTAGCAAAGGGGCTCCTTCTCTGACCAGGACAGCCTCTGAGCCATTTGTCATCTACTCTTACCCTCCCCAGCTGTTTCCAGTAGCAGTCAGCCCATCCTTCTGGAAGGCATTTGAGGAGGTGATATGATTCCCTGTCCTATCTCTTACTAGCTTGGACACTTGGCTAAACTCTCTGAGCCTCAGTTTCCCCATCTGTAATTTGGAGGTGACAATAGTGTCCATCTTACGTAGAGGTATTATAAGGACCAAGTGGCCTAAATGCTGGTCATAGTCCCCTCTGATACTAGAGGTAGTACTGTCTCAATGCCCCGGGTGACCCGGGTCTGCCAGCCTCCCCCACCCTCCCTTGTTCTCTGAGTTGTGGTGAAACTGTCCTTTCAGTGCCATGCTTCTGGCTCCCGGCTTGGGCATTGGTCCTTAAATGCGGTATGCCCACACTTTCCCTCATCTGACTCTGGCTATCCTCCAGACCTCAACCCAGCCTCACTTCCTTGGGAGAATCCCAGGAGCACCTGGCTCAGTCAGGTCCCACATGTGCCCAGCACCTGTCCTAGCCTTCGAGGCTGTCTCCATATTTCTATTTGTGTTAACACTTCGTGTCTAGGCAGTAAACTCATGGTGGTGGGGATGGTCTTTTTTTGACTGTTGTTTGTCTTTTTTTTATGCCTACCTCCTGACCCATTACCTCAATGGTAGACAGATGACCCGCAAAGACATCCAGGCCCTAATCCCTGCAACCTGTGAATATGTTATGTTACATGGCAAAAGGTACTTCGCAGATGTAGGTAGGGTTACAGACCTTAAAATAGGAAGATTATCATGGAGTATCTGGGTGGGCCCAATCTAATTACATGAGCCCTTTAAAGCAAAGGAATTTTCTCCACCTAGAGTCAGAGAAGTGCAGCAGGAGAAGTCAGATTGGAAGCAGGAGAAGGACTCAGTGTCCATCACTGGCTTTTGAAGATGAAGGGGGCCAGAGGCCTCAGTGGTACAACCACAATGAACTGAATTCCGCCCACAACCTGAATGAACTTGGAAGTGGCTTCTTCCCTAGTCGAACTTTGGACACCTTGACTTTGGCCATGCAAGGTGTTAGCAGAAAACTCAGCCATGTCATGCCAGACTCCTGACCCACAGAAACTGTGAGATAATAAAAGTGTGCTGTTTTAAGCTGCCAAATTTGTTATAGGAGCAATAGAAAAGTAGTACACCTGGAATCTATAGGGGCTCGGTAATTATCTGCCAAATGCATCAGGAGCTGTTGGCAGCTGTGACTGCCAACCTCCTTGCTCCTCACTGATAGCAGCAGCCCAGCGCTGTTCCGTTAGAATGTTCACTGCCCCAGAACTTCTGGCAGGCAGGCATGGCCATGTCGCACAGCTGTGGCCCGTGCAATATATGGGGTTTATGGGCAAGCCTCTGCTTTGCTGATGGAGGCACCATCCAGCCCCCTTCCTCCTGACCCTCCCTGGAACTTGGACATGATCCCTGGATATGCAGCAGGTGTCCAGCAGCCATGAGCTTGAAAAACGCAGGCTCCGCCCAGCCCTTTTAGCTGCCTTTGGTTACATGAGAAAAAGAAGCCTCTCTATGCTGAAGCCACTGTTTCTCAGGGTTTCTGTTATGTGTAGCCACACTGCAACTCTTGGCTGGTGCAGAGGACATCTTGAGTGTCATGTGCCATGGCAAAGGGCTACCAGGCAGGGAAGAGGGAGGGAAGAAAGATCAGCTGAAAGAGGAGGAAGCCAGCCCACATGAGTAGCCAGAGACCCAATGGTGGGCAGC